CCAAAAAAAAAAAGAAGAAAGAGGATGAATAGGGCTATAGTAGATTGTAACTACCAAAACAGAATGATGAAACCTGCTGAAATTGTTAAGGAAAGGGAGATAAAGGGAGTGATAGAAGGAGTAAGACTGATTGGAATAGATTATAAACCTGTGTGGAAATGTAACAATGAAATCCTCCCCTAATGTAAAGAGGAGGAAGTGCAGAAGGCAGGAGGGAGGAGGGAGGAGGGAAGCAGAAGACAGCACAGAAGCCCAGACCTGTGGTCTCCAGCTCTTGGGAGAATGAGGAGGAAGGATTACCTGAGCGCAGGAGTTTCAACCAGCCTGAGCAATGTAGTAAAACTATATCCTAAATAAAATTATAATAAACAAATGGGTGACTAAATTCTCCACAAAACTCCATGAATAATGCTTTCTATTTCCACTTTACAGATGGCAGCCTGAGGCTTAAAGGGGGCATGTGATTTTGCCATAAGTACAGATCCTATAAAAGGTACAAAATTAAAAACAGGTCAGTGGTCTTTTCTTTACCCTTGCAACCACCTGGATTCTGAAATAATCCACCCCTGGCCTTGAAGATGGGAGGCACCACCTGTGATGGAATCCTTAACTGTCCTTAAATGACTAGTAATGAGAACACCATCACAGCAATTAGCATTCAGGGAGTACTTGCCACATACCAGGCACTGTTCCCAGCCTTTCTGTGTCTGACTCATATCGTCTACAGATAGCACACTTGCTCTGATCCAGTTTTGACAGTAGAAGTATCTGAGGCCCCAGGGAGGTTAAGGAACGTTGCCCGAACTGGAAAGCTGCAACCCCGCTCTATACCACATCAATGGCACTGCTCACCTTGAGTTTTCTTATTTGTGAATGGAGTTTGGGAAGGGCAGAATGCACAGACCATGACACAAGAGTCATAAATAGCATATGGAGGTTATGTTTGTTTGCCTGGATTAGGAACCTAAACATCCAAACCAACAACAGAAGTTTAAATTCTCAGCTCTCAGTCTGAGCAAAGGGCTAGCTTTGTGGTTCCATTCCTAGTACTGCCAAATGTACATTATCTCTGCCCTGGGAATGCCTGGGTCCAACCCAAGGGTACCAGGACCTTGGAGTCAAGCTGAAACACTCCTGGAATGCTCTTCTGTGCCACAGAAAACTCCTGGCAGAATAGAATTTGCTGGCCAAGCCCAGAAAACCTGTGAACACTAGACAAACTTAAAGTAGGCATGTGGGGGGAATTGCTTTGTTATCTCAAATATTAGCTTAGGAGAAAATGCTGGAGTGTACACAGGGCTGTGCTTCACTTCCCACCCACCACCAAAAGCCTCCATGGGCTTTCCCTCTATCTTCCAAATGTGCCATGGAGTGGAGAGCCTTCCCAACTCTGCATTCCATCTTGACTCCAGCACACCAGACTTTGCAGCAACACTTCATAGGCTTGTTCACTTGGTTCCTCTATGTCCAGCACAAGGACAAGATCCCTGACACACAGATGTGTGGGCCACATAGTCCCTAGAGCTGTGGCATGTGGCCTCTCCCTCTACCCAGTCCACACTCTATCTTAAAGTCCCTGGTTGGCTCTAATAACTGAAGCACACAAGTACAGGTTAACCACGAGACTAGTAATAGAAACGGAGGATGGAATGGGACAGCTGCAAGAGCTATGGTTATATCCTTGACACATACCACCAATAACCAGGTGGCAGATGTGACCACCACATGGTCCCTGGAGACCAGATTCTTGAAGCAAACTTCAGTTCGATGGCAAACATAGTCTAAGAAGACCTTCCAAAATCACAGCCCCCAAGATGAAATTATAAGCCCAAAGTTCAAAACATAGTTTGAAAGATTTCATCATTTTTTTTCCCCCAGAAACAATCCATATGAGAACACAACTGAGTTGGCAGGAATGTCCAAGCTATCCCAGTACCCTGTTCTGCACTGGTCCCATGAATCAGCCCAGGGCTAAAGCCAGATTTATGGTCTTTTTTTTTTTTTTGGTCGTGGGGCTTGAACTCTAGGCCTGGGCACTGTCCCTCAGCTCTTCAGCTCAAGGCAAGTGCTCTTCCACTTGAGCCACAGCGCCACCTCCAGTTTTCTGGTGGTTTATTGGACATAAGCGTCTTACCACCCTTCCTGCCCAGGCTGGCTTTGAACCATGATCCTCAGATCTCAGCCTTCTTAGTAGCTAGGATTACAGGTGTGAGCCACCAGCGCCTGGCTAACTTATGGTATTTCTAATACTCAATTAACTCAAATCATCTTTTGACCTCTTACCTTCTGATTCAGGACTATTCTCCACCAATAATGATTTAAGCTAAGCCAACCTATTGGAGAAGGTAAGGGGACAGTATGCAGTTTGAACATATTCTATGAAGAAACCCAATTAAGAAATGTTTCTTGCCAGGCACCGGTGGCTCATGCCTGTAATCCTAGCTACTGATATCTGAGGATCAAGGTTCAAAGCCATCCCGGGCAGGCAAGTCTGTGAGACTCTTATCTCCAATTAACCACCATAAAACTGGAAGTGGTGTTTGGCTCAAGTGATAAAGCGCTTGCTTGAGCTGCAGAGCTCAGGGGCAGTGCCCAGGCTCAGAGGTTCAAGATCCACGACCGACAAAAAAACAAAAAGAAATGTTTCTCTAAGTCACACAGGCCATTATCCTTTTGTGCTGAGCAAATTTCTTGGTAATTTTTTGAAGGTCTATAATTTTCCTGCAATATCTTTCTCTCTAGAGCAGGACTGGAGGCACAGCTCAGTGGAAGAGCACTTGACTGGCATGTGTGTAAGGTTCTGGGTTCCATTCCTAGTGCTGCCAAATGCACCATGTTACTTCTTTGTGCTACAAGGTCTTCACAAATGCTGTTCCATATCTCTTCACAAATTCCTATCTCTCTTCTCTTGCCCAGATGATTCCTGTCTTCTAAATCTTACCATGAATACATTTGGTCAGAGAAATGAAATACCCACCCCATCTATGTCAAGCCCCCACCATTCTCTTCATGATACGTATCAAATTCATAATTATGTATCTGTGTGCATTTGGTTGACACTCCATTTGAAGTGCCAGCTCCATGTGGGTAGGAATTGTGGTAACACTGCATCTATCCATCCAGTGCCAACAATGGCCTGGCACAGGGCTGGGAAGGTGGCTCAGTGGTAGAGTACTTGCTTTGCATGCATAAGGCCCTGGGTTTGATTCCTCAGCACCACATAAGCAGAAAAAGCCAGAAATGGTGCTATGGCTCAAGTGGTAGGGCACTAGCCTTGAGATGAAGAGCTGAGGGACAGCGCCCAGGCCGAGTTCAGGCCCCATGACCGACCAAAAAAAAAAAACAAACCCAAAAACCAAAAAAAAAAAAAAAAAAAAAAAATCAAGGCCTTATTACAACAGTAACCACATTTCTGAATGGACTTTAGGGCACATCCTGCTTGTTGCTTTCAATGCATTGCTAATCCCTGCAAGTTGGAGATTATCTCCCTAACTTGACAGATAGATAAGGTCCCCAGTGTTCAGAGAGATAAATGAAATTTCTCACAGTCACAGAGCTAGTAGAATGGTGATGCAAGAATTCAAATCCAGCTCAGAGTATACTATCTGAGCTCCTGTTCAGTGCTCCTTTTCAGCAAGGGTGCTGGACCCTCTGGGTACAGCCCAGCAGGCCTAGGAGTATGAAAAAACCACATGACAGTGTGACCCATTTCTGGTATTTCTTTCCTGGTGGTAAGCAACACAAAACCCTTTTGTGTTTTAAACAAAGAAAGTCATTGATATATATTAACATATAATAGATAATAAATTTGGAAGTATTTAAAAACAGAACATGATAGCAAAAAGAAACTTTCATGCTTATTGTCCAGGCCTGAGTATCTTAGGCACCTCCAAGGAAAAATATACAAGCACTTATCTTTCCCTCTCCTCCTCCACTGCTCCCTCCCCCATGCCTCCCTCTCTTCCTTACATTCTGCCATGGCCTTGTACATGGTAGGCAAGCAATCCCAAGTACTATCTCTCCCTTATTACACTATTTTTTTTTTTTTTTGCCAGTCCTGGGGCTTGAACTCAGGGCCTAGGCACTGTCCCTGAGCTTCTTTTGCTAGCAATCTACCACTTAAGCCACAGCACCACCTTTGTCTTTGTCTTTTCTTTTCCTTTTTTTTGGTCGGTCACGGGGCTTGATCTCTAGGCCTGGGCACTGTCCCTCAACTCTTCAGCTCTACCACTTGAGCCACAGGGCCACTTCCGGTTTTCTAGTGGTTTATTGGAGATAAGTCTCACAGATATTCCTGCCCGGGCTGGCTTTGAACCATGATCCTCAGATCTCAGCCTTCTGAGTAACTAGGACTACAGGCGTGAGCCACCGACACCCAGCTAACCTCTGGATTTTTCTGTGTATGTGGTACTGAGGAATTGAACCCAGGGCTTCATGCATGCCAGGCAAGCACTAAGCCACCTTCCCAACCCCATTACACTATTTTTTAAACATCAACATTGCAACTCAATTGTGTGTGGGGGTGTGCATGTGCATGTGCACACTGGTTCTAGGGCTTGAACTCAGGGCCTGACACTGTCCCTGGGCTTTTGTGCTGAAGGCTAGCACTTTGCTACTTGAGCCACAGCTCTACTTTCAGCTTTTTTTTTTGGTCAGCCAAAAGAATCTTGAACTCAGATTCTGGGTGCTGTCCTGAGCTCTTTTGCTCAAGGCTAGCGCTGTACCACTTTGAGCCACAGCACCACTTCTGGTTTTCTGGTAGTTAACTGGAGATAAAGGTCTCATGGACTCTCCTGTTGGCTTTGAACAGTGATCCTCAGCTCTCACACTCCTGAGTAGCTAGGATTACAGGCATGGGTCACCAGCATCGGCCTGCAACCTGATCTTGATTCTCTACTCCCTCTCCCCTTAAACTAGAAAAATTGAAAATGTTTAAAGAAAATGGCAGTGTGTCACTATAGGCACATCATTTTCAAAAGCATTACTCATTTGAGGACATCTTTTTGTAGGTACAATAAATCTGATTGATTTTTATTACATATCTTAGTTTAGAATCACTTTTACATTCCTAGACAAAGAGATGACACAAATAAATATCAATTGTAAAACTTAGAGCCCCAAGTATTGGCATATTCTTTGTCTAAAGGTAGCCAAAGAGAAGGTCAAGATCAATAGTAACTCCAAGGAGCCATAGAGCCCACCACCTCCTGCCCAGGATCCTGCCCAGGATTGTTATTTTCCAAAATAACCTCAGAAGCATTTCATTCAAAAAACAAGGGCAAGGAGAGAGGTGCCAGGTTTCGAAACAATACAAGACAGAGCCTTGCATGGTAAGACAACTGCCAGACACCCTATTCTTATCTAGTTCTCTCCGAACACTTTAAGTATGGCTTTTAGAGTGTATTAATCGCCCCAGTCTCATCCACTGGTGATGTCAGGGTGGTCCACAGGGTTGTTGACAATACACCTGGACCTCAAGTGGGCAATGTGAGGTACAGTGATGTCCTGTGTTAACAGGGAATTGACACTTCTCAGGAACTTGGCAATGAGTCTACATTCAGTGAGGGAGGACTTATGAGTCAGACGGGAAAAGCAGAGAGCAGCCCAGGCCTGAGCTGTAGAACACTCTGGCGCCCTTGGTCATGGAGGTGTGGGTGGAGCATTCAAACAGCATGCAGGCAGGAGACGGGGAACAATTCGAAACTATGTCAGTCCTTAGAAAGTGCTTCATGCCTATGATCCTTGATTCTGCATCCTTGGGTTCTGAATCCAGGGGTCTGGGAGATATGTGACTTGAAAGTATAAAGCTAGATACATTCTGATAAGAGTTGCATACACAGTCTCAAACTCCTTCTCCCAGATGGTCTTCTTCTATCCTGCTGAAGACTTCTTTCAGACTTCACTAACTGCCACTGGCATGAGGCCCTCTGCTGTCCAGGATATCCTATCAGGACTACAGATATGAAAACCTGCTACACATTTGGCTCAATTCAGAACCCAAAGCAGCAGCGTTCTGGTAGCAGCAAGACGTTTTACCATCTGTTCTACTCAAGTATTTGTCGGATCCATTTTGAGAGAAGAAAAGCACCAGAGACTGCTTGGGAAGAAACATGTTCAGCTCCACATGGGCATGTCCTTCTACTGAGTCCTCACGGACCACTATCTGAACACAGTAGAACAAAGCAAGGTTGTATGGGTCTTGCCGGTCAGCCTGGCTGCTTCTTGTGCCTTCTTGGAAAGGTTCTACATGTCACTTAACTACCCTGGGTCTCTAGAGCCACCTTGAAACATCAGTATTAAGGTATAGCGTTATCTGAAGTTTTCAGTTCTCAGGTTTGCTACATTTTCAGACTAGCTGTAAAGAAATGTGGTGTGAGGAACACATGTCACCAGCAGATAATTGTCTGAGGCCACACAGCTCATCATTTGGTTTCTATTTAAGCAGGCAAATTCTTAACACATAAGGAAGAAATCGGGTTTGGTCCCAAGGAAAGATGAGGGATGGTTGCATTATGTCCTGGGAGCTGCTGACTAGGGGTCCTGGGATCTGAAGAAATGGTTACTGAGGAAAATATACACTACAGACAGCAGGCGGATCTCTATTCTGCAGAATGCTCAGACATTGCACTTGGCTCCCTCCTGTTCCCACAGGTTCTGATCCAGAAATGTGTCCTCGGGACTGAGCAGCTGAGTTAAAATGTTACTCAAGGCCCACCTGAGCTGCCACCTTCCTGAGGCACCGTGCCAGCAAGGTGCACCAGTGTGACAGACATGGGGACTCAGTCTGTCCCCTGAGGCTTGGCTCATGGACTCAGACACCCATGTGGAAACACTTTCCAGCCTGGATTAGTCATTCAATGGGCAACAACTGCACATTAGTGTATTTCTACAACTGGGTGAGTTCTTGGTTTCTGTCTCTCTTACACACACACTGTGGACAGAGAGAACAGGCCCCATTGTGCTCATACACCCACACCTTTTTATGAGCTTCTCTTGGGGGAGAAATGAATAACTTTTCACTTAACGACCAACATAAAACAAAGTTTCGAATCTCAATAATACAAAGAACTAAAACTTACAAACAAAACCAACTAGTCTATGTAAACGGGAATTGCGAACTCTCTCCTCTGAGCCTATTCAGCTACCCAGCCTCTCCTTTTGAGCCCCTTCAGCTTACCTGGCAGAGCCACAGTTCTAGGAGTTTTAAGCTGAAGGCAGGCAGCATTCTGGCATTCTTTTGTTTCCATCTATATGTCTTCTCCCACCCCCAGCTCTGAGTCTCCTGTCTCTGTCTCTACCTCTGCATTTGCCTACTTACCCTTCTGCTCTGCCAATATATAACAAAACAAGGACTTCAAAAATGTCCCTATATGTGGCTTTCTCCCAACTCTAATCACATTCAGAGAAGTCAGTCAGCATCCCTTCTACAAAACAGACCTCTGCAGAGCACACTCTGGAGGCAGAGGGTGGACCTACTGGAGGACACTCGAGTATGGAGGCACAGGGAAAGATGGTGACAAAGGAAGAGTAAAGTGACATGGTGAATGAACATGGCACCAGCTTATAGACAGGTCTCTGACAATGGTCATGGTGTTGAGGTTTTAAAGAAACTGGTCCCTTGAGTCTCCAAGGAGGCAAAGGGAATGAATGCTCTTTCTTCTGCTCCTGGCAATAAGCCCTTCGGGATCCGGGACTGGGAGATATCCCCTCACTCAGAAGATCCCAAATACAGATCCAGTTCTTCCTGAGGCCCACAGAAGTTAGATTGCTGGTCATGCCCCCTTAGGGCTTTGATCCACATGAGATTTCTCATTTCCCCGTACAAGAACAGATACCTACTCAAGTTCCAGGGCTTTCACGTTTGATCTCATTGTCATTTTAAACTGAGGCTCCACCATACATGGTCCTGAGAGACCACTGACTCTACCCTATGGTTTAATAAGAAAGGAGCTGAATGTGAAGAATAGGCTAGAAAAGGAGAGGGGAGAGGAAAGGAGGAAGGCAAGGAAGAAAGGAAGCAAGGTCATGGTCAATCTCTTGCAGTCCACTTAGACTTTGCACTTTACCTTACCCATGCATTTCTGAGATGCAATTTAAAGGGCGTTTCCCAGAGGAGCTGAGTGCCAGATTTGGACCAGCACATTCCACCAGATTAAATTGGCTAATCTGCAAAGAGGCCATCACTTCTCCTCAGGGGAACGGTTCTGAGTTTGGGCTCAAGTCCTCTCTGCAGCTTTGTGCTCATCTCTTCTCTCAGAAGGCAATGCTGTTCACAGCCTGGGAGAGGGGGCACTGGTGTTACTTGGGAACCAGTCCCCGAGACTGTGGATAAAGCTGAGATGCAGGGGTTCCTGAGGATGAGGATGAGGACCCCGACTTCCTGCCACTCTTAGGCCTGCAAAAGTTAAGCACACATGGATATTACACATCTCTAAGTGCCATAAACAACATTTGAAGGTGGCCTTTCCTCAATGACCTGAAAGCCAGAATACCCTGAAACAATAAACCCACTTAGCTGGCCAAGCCTCAAACTTGGGTGGGAACAACAGGCCAGCCAACAGAGGTACAAGACCAGAGGTGAGAGACTGATGTTCACTGTTAAAAGCCAGACTGGGCTGGGGCTGGGAAGGTGGCTCAGTGGTAGAGCGCTTGCCTTGCATCATGAGGCCCTGGGTTCAATTCCTCAGCACCACATAAGCCAAAAAGAAAAAAGCTGGAAGTGGCGCTGAGGCTCAAGTGGTAGAGTGCTAGCCTTGAGCTGAAGAACTGAGGGACAGCGCCCAGGCCCAGAGTTCAGGCCCCACAACCGACAAAAAAAAAAAAAAAGCCAGACTATCTGCTTTGTGAAGGTTAAAATGTGTTTGTTTGTTAACTAAGTATTACTATCCACACTACTGTGAAATCTGTGAAATTTATATAATCACTTAATCTCAATTAAAAAAAATATTAAAAAAAAAGCCAGACTATCCTCTCCCAATCAGTAACGAATATTAAGCCAGTATGGTGGCACACACCTGTAAGTCCCAGCTACTTGGGAGGCTGAGGCAGAACTTTAAGACAAGCGTTGGCAACAGAGGAACACTTTTTCTCAAAAACTTACTCATGGCAAGTGCTGGTTGCTCATGTTTTTAATCCTAGCTACTAGCTTACTCAGGAGGCTGAGATCTGCGGATCAAGGTTCAAAGCCAGCCCAGCAGGCAAGTCCATGAGACTCATCTCCAATTAAGGATCAAAACAGCCAGAAGTGGACTATGGCTCAAGTGACAGAGCTCCAGCCTTCAGCCAAAAAAAAAACCTGAGACAGCACCTAAGCCCTGAGTTCAAGCCCCAGGACCAGCAACTTGTTTCTGGGTAGAATTTTTTCATTGTTTGTTTCTACTCATTTGTTTTCATAAAAATAAAAATAATTAAAATGAGAGGGTTTCTTTGTTTTTAATATAGGGTCTCAGGGCTGGGAAGGTGGCTCAGTGGTAGAGTGCTTGCCTTGCATGCATGAATCCCTGGGTTTGATTCCTCAGCACCACATAAGCAGAGAAAGCCTGAAGTGGTGCTGTGGCTCAAGTGGTAGAGCGCTAGCCTTGAGCTAAAGAGCTGAGGGACAGTGCCCAGGCCCAGAGTTCAGGCCTCACGACTGACAAAAAAAAAAAGGGGGACTCATTGAGCTAGGAAGCTTGCCTAGCATGCATGAAGTCCTGGGTTCTATTCCTCAGTACCACATAAACAGAAAAAGCCAGAAGTGGTGCTGAGGCTCAAGTGACATAGTGTTAGCCTTGAGCAAAAGAAGCTCAGGGACAGTGCCCAGGCCCTAAGTTTAAGCCCCAGAACAGGCAAAACAAAAAGAACAAAACAAACAAACAAACAAACAAAAACAGAGGGGGTGGGGAGGAGATGGCAGGGCAGGGATGGGAAGGGGAAACAAAGGAGGCAACAATGCTTGATAAGAAATGTACTCAGGGGGCTGGGAAGGTGGCTCAGTGGTAGAGCGCTTGCCTTGCATGCCTGAGGCCCTGGGTTCGATTCCTCAGCACCACATAAGCAAAAAGAAAAAAGCCAGAAGTGGCGCTGTGGCTCAGGTGGTAGAGCGCTAGCCTTGAGTTGAAGAGCTGAGGGACAGCGCCCAGGCCCAGAGTTCAGGCCCCATGACTGAACCAAAAAAAAAAAAAATGTACTCAGTACCTCACTGTGTACGGTATTTTTACAATAAAAGAAACTTATTAAAAATTTAAAAAAAACAGTCTCACTACATAGGCTAGGTTATCCTTAAACTCTAAATGCTCCTGCATCAGACTTCCAAGTGCTGGGATTATAGGCATGTCACGCCATGCCCAGTTTCCTTAAACTTCTAACCTAGACTTGAATACTGTAGAATTCTAATTTCATATCAAGTAGATGAGGTAAAGTTAGATGAAGGCTCAGAGCCTGGACTATGGATTACGTAAGATAGAACCAGGCTTCTGTGCTGGCTCTATGACTCCCTTGCTGAGATTCCTTGGACCTGGCTACTTTCTCTAATTCTCCAAGTCTTGGTTTTCTTATAAAATGGGACTGATGATGACATTTTATTTTTACAAGAAATCATTAAGAGAGTTCCTATAAAGCCATTAGAAGTACTTTGCATCTGGCAGAAACTGAATTATTAGTTATTCTGTAATTCAGTAGGCCTGAATCAATCATAAATAATTGTGGTAATAATGATGATGATAGTGGAATAAGTGAATAAACATAAGAGAAATAAGGCAACAAATCCTAGTATGATCTTACTTTGTCCTTGTTCAATGGTGATCGTGTGTGTGTGTGTGTGCGCGCGCGCGTAGGTGTATTGCGAGGAATCAAACCAGGAACACACATACGCTAACCAAGCACTCTACATTAAACTGTATTCCAGACTTTTTTTTTTGAGGGAGGGTCAAGCTGGCCTACAACACTGGCCCTCCTGCCTCAACCCCAGCCCTCCTGCCTCAACTCCCAAGTAACAGGTCACCAAAAGCCACTTACCTGGCCTTGGATTTCTTATTTGCGGTGCTTTCAAAGGATGATGCATCCACTTGTATCTCATCTTCATCCTGCAGAGCTGCATCCAGTGCAGCCTGGACCTTGGGAGCAATGGCTGGGCCTTCATAGTCTCTGGTAGTCCGGCTAGGCATGTCCAGCTCTAAGAGCACAATGTTTTCGGCCTGTGGAAACACAACCATCACCAGCCAAGTTGGCCTCCATCAGATACAGAGAGTCCAAGCAATCTAGAATCCCTCTGAAAGCAGAATTGCACACTGCTTTGCTACTTAGAGCCTGCCAAGAGCCTGCCTAGAACAAACAATTTCATTTTTTTTCCTAATGGGATTAAAAATGATTTCATACTCTATGCTTTTCTGTATTTCTTTTTATTTTATCAATGAACATGTCTTATGCCCTAAGAGTAGTTATTAGAGAAAAATTAAGTAAAAAACCTATTTATTGCAGACAATTTTAAAATAAATACAAAAGAGTCTAAAGAAGAAAACTGTCACCACCCATAGTCTCTTACACAGGCTTTTCAGCTACAAGAGGAAGGAGGCATCTGGCCTATGGCATGTGGAGGCTGGGCCTGGAATGGCTGTGCCTGTCACTCCACACCGGATTTAGCCCTACTTTATAACTGGCCTTATAGACTAACTCCTTCACTGGATGTCCTGTGGTGTCTTGAAGGGTAGAGGGGGAAGATCACCAATACACATGTCATCTTCTTCCCTGACTCCCGCCAGCAAGAGGAGTCGGCTGCAGGCCTCCTGAGAGGGCAGCGAGAAGGGGCAATGCAATAAGGTGAGGATAGGGAGGCCCCATTCATCCATTTTAGAGATTGAGATGTGCATAGAATTTCTGCTGATAACATATGCTCAATAATAAAGAACATTTGAGAATCTTGGAATTAAATTCTAGCTGTGGGTCATGTTAGGCCTCTGGGGAACCATGTGTTTGATTTGTAGGCTTTAAAGTCATTTTTCTAAGTTTAAGCCACCAGGTTAACTGGTAAGATATGCACCATATCTACAACTTAGAAAAACGCTTTTTGAGGATCCGGTCTGACCTACCATTCATCTGTCTCTGTGTAAAATCACACCTTAGCAAGCTGTTTGCTTTTGCTTTTATTTTCTTTATTTTAAGTAACTCAGTGCCAGGAAGAACAGACTCTGAAGACTTACTTCATCTTAATCTTCTGTTTTGTTTTGACTCCAAGAAAACACCAAAAGCAGTTAAAATTTCTTAAGTGAAACCTCTTTCATTATAAAAATACTGGCTGTTGATATTTACAAGATATAAGCAAGAAGAAGGAAATTTAAATTGAGTGTACTTCCACTAACCAGAATAGCTAGTTCACATTTTCACATATTTTGCATTAGGTAGTTAGATTCATATGTTCCCAGAATAAATTGGTTTCTTTTGTTTTTTTTTTCTTTTCAGTATTGGGAGATAAAGCCCAGAGCATTGGCACATCCTACTACTGAGCTACAACTCCAGTCCCTCCCCTTCCCCTTCCTCTTCCTCCTTCTTTTTTTTAGCAGTACTGCAGTTTAAACTTAGGTTCTTACACTTGTTAACAATGCCTCCAGTCCTTTTTTGGCACTAGTTATTTTGAGAAAGGTTCTCCCTTTGAGGTTGTTAGGCAGGTGCTCTACCTGAGCCACACCTCCAGCCTGAGTTACATGTTATGAGTAAGATCTCAAGTTTTTTTGGCCTGGGCTGGCTTATGCTGAAATTCTATTTACCTTCCTCATAGCTGGAGTAATAGGGGTTGGGAACATCATGACCAGCTTTAATTGAGATGGGATCTTTATTATCTTTTTGCCTGGTCTGACTTTGAAGTACAATCCTCCTGATCTCTGACACCCAAGTATTTGGGACTATAGGTGTGAACTACTAGTCTCTAGCACTTTTACTAGAAAGTATTTTGAGGTTGTTGAATAGTACCAAATTATGTCATCTTTGTTTTCCTTTTCTTTCGTGTGTGTGTGTGTGTGTGTGTGTGTGTGTGTGTGTGTGTGTGTGTGTAAATGCGCGCGCACGCGTGTGTTCTGGTCCTGGGGCTAGAATTCAGGGCCTTTCCAATTTAGCTTTTTTGCCCAAGGTGGGTGCTCTATCAATTAAGCCACCTCCACTTGTGTGTGTGTGTGTGTGTGGTTAACTGGAGATCTCAGACTCCTGAGTGCTAGGATTATAGGCATGTCACCAGTACCCAGCTCTTATTTATGTCATTTTCAATGACTACATGATGGAAACCCACAAGCTCATATTCTCCTATCGGAAATTTGTGTTCTTTCCAAGGCTTCCATAGAACCATCTTGAAGCTTCCTGTTAATGTTTTCTGTTCATTATGCGAGTCACGGCACCATTTATGTTAGGTTTTTATTTATTTTTTTTTTTGGTCCAGTCATGAGGCCTGAACTCTGGGCCTGGGCGCTGTCCCTCAGCTCTTCAGCTCAAGGCTAGTGCTCTACCACTTGAGCCACAGCGCCACTTCCGGCTTTTTTCTTATGTGGTGCTGAGGAATTGAACCCAGGGCCTCAGGCATGCAAGGCAAGTGCTCTACTACTGAGCCATCTTCCCAGCCCTATGTTAGGTTTTTAAAAAGAGGTAGCCAAGTAAGAACTGCACCACGCAGGTGGTATTCAGGTAAGGGGTAGGTTTATTCAGTAGACTTGCTGGGACCAGGCAAGGTTGGCACTCCACGCAGCTGGCAAAAGAGAGAGAGCTGGGAAAGAGAGAGGAAAGAGAGAGAAAAGAGCTAGAAAAGAGCAGAGAGAGCAGAGAGAGCAAGAAAAGAACAGAGAGAGAGAGAGAGAGAGAGAGAGAGAGAGCTCTGTTCATTATGGACAGGATATTTGTACTCCCTTCTTAACCTTGTTGGTAAATCTTACTCTACTTTCCACGTACTATTTATTATTTTCTTGTTATATGTTCTCAGTATCTCTAGAAAGAGTCAGAGTACAGAAGTTTGAAGAATGGTGTCTAAGGGTTTATGTATAATCTACACTCCTCCAAAAGATAGAGGAGAAAAACCCATAAACAACATGCTTACCCTGTATCGAGCCTCTGGCCGAATCATCATGGACATTCTTGCATGTTGGCTCAGGGGTCTCTTGTACCCCACAGCAGAGACTGGCCGCTTCATCATCTGCTGATTCCTGCAAACAAACTGCAGTAGTTAAGGACCTGCTGGAGAACACCCCACAGCCCCAGACCAGGCTAGTGGGACAACCACTCAGAGAGACTCTGACCAAGACAGACCCAATGAGTAACTTGTAAGACTGAGGTTGATGGAAGTGGGGAAGGAGCTGCTTAGCCTTTCTGCTTGAGCTGCTATCTGATTCAGATGTGAGAACCCTGCTTCTTTTAAGCTGGAAGGGATCCCAAGCATGCACCAGTTACACAGCAGCCATGAAGCATAGCTACCCATACTCCCCATTCCATCTCCCCAGCAGGGCCCAGGAGCAGACTGACACAACCTAACACTCTGTACTGCCCCTTATTTGGCCTAGAAGACTTCACCTGACAGAGGAAATGCAAACTCGGGAATATGGCAAAGGATTTTGTTACAAGTGACAAAGTTTCCAAATTCCTAATATCATATTCAGTACCAAACTTTTACCCCATGGACCTTGACAGCCACAAAGTAAAAGTTGAAATGAATCAAACTCTGTTCCTCCACCACTCTGTAGCCACATCCAGACACCAACATTCTTTTTCCCTCCTTCCCTCTTGTAAGTTTACTTAAAGTTAACAGTGACTTACTCCAGTCTGGTTATAGGATGTAATTTCCAATGATCTTCCTCTTCATCAAAGTAAGATCTATTCATAATTTTATTCTTTTCTTCCAGAGGGATGAAGTTTTCTATAATAAGATGCCTATAATAAGAACACAAATGAAAACAGATGAAGAGTACATACACAGCCAGGGCAGTGATGCATACCTATAGACCCAGCTACTTAGGAGGCTGAGGCAGGTGGTTCATTTGAGCCCAGCCTGGGTAACACAACAATACCATATTTACAAATGAACAAAACAGTGTTGGTTATTTGGCATAATGAATCCATAGTAATCAGTTAAGAGTCAAGTCAGTCAGCAAACATTTACTGAGCTTGTTATTATGGGCCTAAAATCCTTCACAGAGCTGGGATATGGATGTCAAGGGCATCTAGTCCCTTCCCTTAGACAAAGAAGTTAATGATGCAGCACTCTGCAACAACCAGTACTATGTATAGTCCCTCCCAGGAATATGGAGCCAGTATTGATAACCAGGATGAGCAGCATGATGATGTGACTGAAAACAGAGTGCAGAGCTATCCTAGGGTGAATACTGGATACCCAGGGTATCTGTCAATGAACCACCGGTGTTGCTAAGCCAGGTCCCTGTTTTCCAAAATGCTGAACACAAATTAGAAAGTAAAAAGTCTACCTGTAGTCCCTCAGTTTGTTACCCAAGCTGGAAAACTGGCCATTTTAACAAACCAGGATGAAAAGCAGGAACAATTTCAGTCTCTTAATGCACTAAGAATGAAAACTATTCCTGAGAAGATTCTCTACATAACCAGTGCTGAGGAAAAGCATCAAACAGCTGGGGCATGATGATATACACCTGTAATCTCAGCTCTTAGGAGCTGAGGCAAGACTATAAATTTGAGGCTAGCCTGGAACCCACATCAAGACTCTGAATGAATGATTGAATGACTAAATCAAACTAGGCAACTAGTTTGCATCTCTCCACAGTGGTGACCATTTCCATCTCTGCAACCATGCTTCCAAACCTCAGAAAGGATATAAGCCCAAAGGGTGTTACTATGAGACACAGAACAAATACCACAGAGGTATAGGGTAGATGGAAGTCCAGACTGATTCACTGTTTATTCAAAAGATACAAAAAAGATATGGGCTGGAGGCATAGAGCAAGTGGTAGAGTGCTTGCCTAGAAGTAGAAAAGATCTGCCAGGCACGGGTGGCTCACGCCTGTAATCCTAGCTACTCAGGTTAGCTGAGATCTGAGCATTGCGGTTCAAAGCCAGCCCGGTCAGGAAAGTCCGTGAAACTCTTATCTCTAATAAACCACCAGAAAACCAGAAGAGGGGCTGTAGCTCAAGTGGTAGAACACTAGCCTTGAGCTGAAGAGCTGAGGGACAGCCCTCAAGCCCAGCAGAATTCAAGCCCCATGACCGACAACAACAACAACAACAAAAAAAGTAGAAAACATCTCAGTTCTGCCAGCCCAGGCAGAAAAGTCCATGAGACTCTTATCTCCACTAGCAAAAAGCAGAGGGGAGGGGGAAGGAGGTGGAAGGGAAGGGGGAGGAAGAAAATCTCAGCCAGAACTTGGTGGTTCACCCCTATAATCCTAGCTACTCAGGAAGTTGAGATCTGAGGATCACAGTTCAAAGTCAACGTGGCCAGAAAAGTCTGTGAGACTCTTACCTCCAATTTGATTAACTACCAAAAAAGCTAGAAGTGTGGCTGTGGTTCACAAGTGGTAGAGAGCTACCATGAGTACAAAAGCTTAGGAACATCACCCAGGCCCTAAATTCAAGCCCTAGGAATGGTGAAAAAGAAAATCTTGCCCAGATCTCAGATGTCCAAAGGTTCTCAAAGAGTACCTGAATCTAGTGCACTTGACTGTTCATTAGACCACTCAGAAAAATTTCACAAGAAGTGGAGCTGTGGCTCAAGTGTAGAGCACTCGCCTTGAGCTGAAGAGCTCAGGGACAGGGCCTAAGCCCAGAGTTCAAGCCCCATGACTGACCAAAAAAAAAAAAGAAAGTAGAATGGAAGCGGGGCATTGGCAGTTCTCACCTATAATCCTAGCTACTCAGGAGGCTGAGATCTGAGGATCATGGCTTGAAGCCAGCCTGGACAGAAAAGTCCATGAGACTATTACCTCCAATACCACCAGAAAACAAAAAGTAGCGCTGTGCCTCAAAGTGGTAGAGCAGTATCCTTGAGCAAACAAGCTCAGGACAGCACCCAGGCGCCAAACAACAGGGAGAACGTAACAGTATAGAAGAGAACTCGGTCACATCCTAGAGACAACTTTCTCAAGTATAAACAGAAGACCGTAAGGTGGTATAAGGTAAGTTGGCAAGAAGTGGACAGAGGACTTGTCCCTAAGGAGGTTTCTTGACAAATAAGGCCAGAGATCCAGCAGTGGCTGGAGGCTATGCAAAGGTGCAGCACTTACTTGAGCTTTAGCTCCCGGGTGAGCTCATTCTGAGTCTGCTCCAGCTCTTGGCGCTCCTTGATGTGTTCTTCTTGGAGGTCGTGGATCTCAGCTTTCACTGCCTGAAGCTTGGAGAAGAGCTGGAACCGGGGAGAGGCAGGTGAAGAGAGGCCATCAAAGAACAGGGCTCTCCCTTGCTTCTAGGACTCAAGGCACCTTGCCTGGCCTCCATCCTTTCCTACCTTTTTGAGTTTTTTAGTTTTGATGTCCACCTCTTGCTGCAATGAGCTATATGTCTCTTTAAGTTCCAGGGTCTCCTCATCTCGACTTTCCATCTGTTGCTGGATTTCTCTTTCTCGACGTTTCTGAGCAATATCACAAAATTCATCAGCTTGCTTAGAGACTATGCCAGTATAAGAGTAGGGGCTAGGTGATCCCGGTTAGTCTCCAGCTAGCATGAAGCCGACACACATCACAACTCCATTCTCTTGGAGGACAGTCATATACCACAGAGATCAGCTGGTGGCCCGCCCATTCTCCCCAGATAAAAATGCAAAATTACCTGCTCTGCAATTTCCTGCCGTTTCTGCTCCAGGATTTTCTGCTGTTCATTTGTATGGTCTACTATATTTTTTCCTCCAACAAGCAGTTTACTCTCCATGGCCTGAGTGAGAAACAAAGTAAATCCATCTTGTGACTGATCTCCCTCAGAGCCTGAGTTCTCACTGGGGAGTTGAGGAATTGGCTGGATGTGGTAGTACACACCTGTGGTCCCGCCAAACCAAGGCTAAGGGAGGAGGATTGTGAGTTAAAGGCCAGATTGGGCTATATAAAAACACTGTCTCTGATGGCACACACCTATAATACCAGCTACTCAGGAAGTTGAGATCTAAGGATCACGGTTCAAAGCCAGGCTGGGCTGGAAAGTTCAAGAGATTCTTTTTTTTTTTTTAACTGTATTTTTTTTTTTTGGTCTTTTTTTCTTTTTTGGTACTGGGGAGATACCCAGAAACCTGCACTTGCTAGGGTAGCACTTTGCCACTGAGCTACATCCTTATCTCCAATAAACTAACCCCCAAAACCTGGAAGTAGTACCATGGTTCAAGTGGTAAACAAATAGCCAAGTGCCAGTGGCTTACGCCTATAATCCTAACTACTCAAAAGGCTGATATTTAAGGATCAAGATTGAAAGTCAACCCAGGCAGGAAAGTCTGTGAGACTCCTATCTCCAATTAGGGAGGGGAAAGGAAGGGAAAAGAGGGGAGAATAACTGGAAGAGAAGAGTAACTGAGCCTAGAACTGTGGTGTATGCCTACAATCCTAGCTACTACGGAGGCTAAAACCAAGAGGACCATGGTTAGAAGCCAGTGTGGGCAGAAAAATCTGTGAGACTTCTCTAATTAACAAATAAAATGCTAAATGTAGGCATGACTCAGTGGAGACTTGCCAACTATAAAGCTGAGTCAGAGCTCAAGTCCCTCAGTTAAACTCCTAGTTTAGACCCTGAGTTTAGTCTCCAGTACTCAAAACAAAAACTGGGTAGCTGGTGGCATAGTTTAACTGACAGAGTGCTTGCCTAGCAGACAAGATAACCTGGACTCAATCTCCAGAATAATATAGAAAGAAAAAAAAAAAAGACACATTAACTGTGGCCCTGCTGCTATCTTTAAGTCTATCCTTTGAGGCTGTTTCCAAAACAAAGGACTAGATTACCAATCACCCCATATACATCCCTTCCATCTCTAAAAGTCTCACGTTCTGTGATTTTAAGAAAGAAAGAATGTCATTTTCCCAAAGACAAAGCACCTGAGAGGCAGTATGGCCTGTGGCAATGCTGAATCCAGCCACAGGAGGCCTCTGTGAGTTCCCCAAACACCCTAGGTGGTGCAGACAGCCTGGGAGTTCCTGGCCCTGGATAATAGCTTTGACTCTAAAAACTGGCATGCAAATCAAAGACGCAAATCAAGTATGGGCACACCAGTTACACTTGCAGTAGGGGAGTGAGGAAGTCTGAAGTGGCAAGACATAAAGGTATCCAACAGTGTTCATAGTGGGCTCATTGTATTGTTTGCTTATTTTGAGTACTGGGTCTAGAGCTTGCCACAGTTCTCTACCACCTGAGCCATATCCTCAGTTCTTTTGCTTTTAGGTTGTTTTTTCTGATAGGGTCAAATGGTTCCAGGGGCTGGCCTCAAACCTTGATCCTCCTATCTCTACCTCCCAAGTAGTTGGGATTACAAGCATATACCACCATACCCAGCTCACATAGGGTCTTCTATTGTTATTTTCAAATAGTTGTGCAAGGGGGCTATCATTTTACATGTACATTTTTATCCCATGAGGTCTTAAAAGAAGTGGAAAGTACTTTCCAAGTGTTAAGATATCTGGCTCCCCAGCGAAATAGCACATAACTCTGTGACAAGACTATAAAGCTACAGAGAAGTTCTCATGTAATACAGGTAGGGAACAAGAGACAACTTGTCACCTTTTTTTTTTTTTGGTCAGTTGTGGGGCTTGAACTCAGGGCCTGGGCACTGTCCCTGAGCTTCTTTTGCTCAAGTCTAGCACTCTACCACTTGAGCCTCAGTGCCACGTCTGGCTTTTTCTGTTTATGTGGTATTGAAAAATTGACCCCAGGGCTTCATGCATGCTAGGCAAGCCCTCTACCACTAAGCCACATTCCCAGCCCCAACTTGTCACTTTTAAATTAATAAATATAGATACATTTTAATGTAGAAACCAAAGTTTGCATGAATTCATGAAGAATACAAGAACTCAAAAGACTTCTGGCTTGTGGTCAGCAGTAGCCATCCAGACTTTTAGGGTCACTTCTCTCCTCTGCCATTAAAGCCTAGCTGGTTGCAGGTGGCTCATACCTGTAATCCTAGCTACTCAGGAGGCTAAGATCTGAGGATCAAAGTTAGAAGTCAGCACAGGCAAAAATGTCCATGAGGCTCTTATAGCCAATAAAACTACTCAAAAAAGCCGGAAGTGATGCTGTGGCTCAAGTGGTAGAGCTTTTGCTCACTTTGAGCAAAGTAAGCACAGGGACAGCACCCAGGCCCAGAGTTCAAGCTCCAGGACTGCTCCCTGCCCTCTGCCCCACTTCCTGCCTCCCCTCTCCCCAAAAGTCCAATGGCAGTCCAGAGTCCAGTTACCCCAGGAGACAATCACTGCTGCCAGAAAGAAAACACAAAACCAGGAGCATCTCCACACTCTAAATACTGTTCTGCCTACCAGGAAGTCAACACAGACATGAGGAAGGTCATTAGCACACCGGAGTCAGAGGTTGAGGGGGAGTAGCTACAAGGGAACAGCACAAGGAAATGTGGAGGTGATGGAACTTTTCTGTCTTGCATCATCAGGATACTGCAAACTAAAACCACAGAGACATCACTTTACATACACCATACTAGTGAAATGAAATCCCAAGTGTTGGTAAGAATAAGGAACAGCCAGAACTCACATCCTACTGGGGAAAACTTTGGTTCTAACAACCTTGGAAAACACCTTGTCCTTGTCCAATAAAGTGAGGTTGCACACACTCCAGCATCTAAAGGTGCCAGATGAGAAAAAAATTCACACACATACATGTTCTCATTCAGCCAAACCCAAAAACCATCACAACAGAATGTAGAAGCAACCCACATTATCAGGAGAATGGAATGCCACAGAATACTCTGAAAAGTGAGACTGGGAATAGTGGCCTGAGAGTCCCAGGCCAGTCTGAGTTACATAGTGAGATCCTGTCTCAAAAACCCAAACAAAAACGAAAGATTCTATAACCAGTAATAATGAAGGAATCATACCTACAGAGGCATGTACACAGGTTAACCTCCCACATAGAAAATTAGGCTAAATAAAAGCCAAGTGCAGGTAGTACACTTTAGGTAAAACTACAAAAGCCATTTGAAAGTAGGTGATGATTCATTTAGAGCTACATACATTCATGTACAATAGAACTGTAGGGGAAAACAAGGCAAACACAAACATCAAATTCAGGGGAAGGAAGACAGGAGCTTCTGAATAAGGGAGTGCTGTTCTACTGTGTCTCACACTGGGTGCGCTGGGTAGGCACTGGGTATGCACATGTGTAACAATTATTTGTAATTTTTTTTTTTGTAATTTTTTTAACTGGAAAAAAATGCTTTCTTCCTTTGGATTCAATTCAGCCACTGCTTACTGAGCCAGACATGGAACAGCTAGAAATGTAGGAAACTGTTAACAGAGATATCACGCCTTGTACCATTTGGGTTTTTGTTTTGTTTTGGGGTGCTTTTTTTTTCTTTTTCTTTTTTGTCGGTCATAGGGCTTGAACTCTGGGCCTGGACACTGTCCCTCAGCTCTTCAGCTCAAGGCAAGAGCTCTACAACTTGAGCCACAGCGCCACTTCTGGCTTTTTCTGCTTATGTAATGATGAGAATTTGTGCCCAGGGCCTCATGCATGAAAGGCAAGCACTCTACCACTGAGCCACCTGTTTGGGGGTGTGTTTTGTTTTGTTGTTGCCAATCCTGGGGCTTGTACTCAGGGCCTGAGCACTGTCCCTGAACCTCTCTGTGCTCAAGGCTAGCACTCTATTACTTGAGCCACATTTCCAGATTTTTCTGTTTATGTGGTACGGAGGGATCAAACCCAGGGTTTCATGCATATGAGGCAAGCACTCTACCACTAAGCCACACTCCTGTACCATGTTTTGATAGAAGAAAGGCACTGACAGTGTAGAGGGCCCAAGGAAGGGCGTGGTACCTTGATTTTGGCGCCCAGCATCTCAGCAGCATCCTTCTCCCGCCGAAGGTCCTCCATCTTTTTCTCCTTCTCCTTCAGCAGCCTCATCTTCTCCTCTGCTACCAAGCTGTGGTCCTCTACAATAGCCCGCTTCTCAATCTCCAGTTTTTCTTGCTGTTCCCGCCAGTAATCATCCTTATCATCCCCTTCCTCCTCACCCTCTTCTCCCTCCTCCTCCTCCTCTTCCCCACCCCCACCACTGCCACCACCTTCCCTCCGCTTCTCTCGCCTCTTCCGCTTGCCAATGGAGCGTTTTTCCAGCTGGGCCTTGAGCCGAGCAATTTCTTCCTGGAATTCTCGAAGGAGGGCATCCTTTGGGTCCTCATTGACCCTAGGTTTGTTCTTAATGTTTTTGGCACGGTTGGCATATCTCAGGGTGGTCAGGGTCTCTTCTACATTGTAAGAGGCAGGCCCCACATTGGCGACCATCACAGTCTTGGCATTGCCACCAAGGGAATCTTGGAGAAGCCTGGTGAGCTTTGAGTCTCGATAGGGAATATGAGTGCTTTTGCCGTCTACCAGGGCAGAGATGACGTTCCCCAAGGCCGAAAGGGACAGGTTGATCTTGGTGGCTTCTTTCAGTCTTTCCCCTTGGGCACCAGTCTTGGCTTGCCGTTCACTGCCAGCAAGATCTACCAGGTTCAGTTTCCCCACACGGATGTGGTTTTCCCCATCAAGGCCCACCTCGCTGCATTCAATGGTGATAACAAAGATGGCATGAGAGCGGGAGCTATGCTCATTCATGTTGGTCGCACCTACAGATCGGTTCTGGTTCCCCACATTCATCACATGCTCAATCTCCTTGACGCTCTTGGTGACAAAGGAAGACAGGTCTTTGACATATACTCCAGTGTCGGGCCTCTCTTTGAGTTCGAGCCGTTTAGTCTGGTCCTTTGAGAGCAGGTCCCGAATCTCCTCCTGGTAGATCTCTAAGTAAGAAGCCCTGACCAGGTACTGCTGATTCTGTGACCGAGAGATGTGGGTGAAGATATGGTCAAATGAGTTGGGGATAACCCCTCTTTTCTCAGGGTCACCACGGACTCCTTCCATCGTGTAAGTTTTCCCAGTCCCCGTTTGTCCATAGGCAAAAATGGTCCCATTGAAACCCTGCAGTACGGAGTCCACAAGTGGTCGGAAGGTCTCATCATAGAGTTCAAACTGCTTGGCATTCCAGTCATAGACTGCATCAAAGGTGAAGGTCTTGGGCATCTCATGGGCAGTGCCTTTGGGGTTCTTCACAGACACCTGTCCCAGCTTCACGTCTACATCCACCACCTTGTCGTAAGAAGCGGCCTTTTCCTTGCCATTCATGGGCCGGCAGCGGACCACCACCCGGACTGACTCTGAGCTTTTGAGTTTTGACATGATGAACTTGGAGGGCAGTCTTTAGGGCTAGAATCCAAAGCAGCTCAGGATGCTAAAGCCCTACAAAAATTGAAAAAAGCCAAAACAGTAAGTATAGGGGCAACTGATAGCAGCTGATACACACAAGTCATCTTTGCTTGCTAACTTTCCAACAGCCAAATTAATGACTTTCCAACACTATTTCCTCATGGGACCTTAACTCCAGTCCACCTAAACTGTTTAGCCTGTCTTCCCATCAATCGACACTTAGTATTTGTTATTCTACAGATGGAGGCAACTGGAAATCTTTTTTTAAAACTTGGGTTAGCCAGGCGCTGGTGGCACAAACCTATAATCCCAGCTATTCAGGTGGCTGAGATCTGAAAATCATGGTTCAAAACCAGCTCAAGCAGGAAAGTCTATGAGACTCTTTTATGTCCAATTAACCATCAGAAAACCCCAAATGGAGCTGTGGCTCAAAGTGGTAGAGTGCTAGCCTTCAGTGAAAAAGCTCAGGGTCAGTGCTCAGGCTTCAAGTTCAAGCTCCACAACCAACAAAACAAACAAAAAAAAAAACTTGGGTAGTTTTTTTAACTTTTTTTTTTCTTTTTGCCAGTCCTAGGCTTGAACTCAGGTATGGGCACTGTCCCTGAGCTTCTTTTGCTCAATGCTAGCACTCTACCACTTGAGCCACAGCTCTGCTTCCTCCTTTTTTGGTAATTTACTGAAGATAAGTCTCATGGACTTTCCTGGCTGGGCTGGCTTCAAACCTGATCCCAGATCTTCACCTCCTGAGTAGCTGAGATTATAGGTGTGGGGCATCAGCACCCAGCTAGCCTGGGTGGTTTTGTGTGTGCTGGTCCTGGGGCTTGAAGTCAGGGCCAGGGTACTATCCCTGAGCTTTTTTGCTCAAGGATAGCACTCTACTAGTTGTGACATAGCTCTATTTCAACTTTTTGTGTGTATGTGTATGGCAGGTTATTGGAGATAAGAGTCAGACTTTTTGCTGAGTGTGGTAGCTCATGCCTGTAATCCTAGCTACTCAGGAGGCTGAGATCTGAGGATCAAGGTTCAAAGCCAGCCCGGGCAAGAAAGTCCATGAGACTTTATCTCCAATAAAAACCACTTAGAAAACCAGAAGTGGCACTGTGGCTCAAGTGGTAGAGTGCTAGCCTTGAGCTGAAGAGCTGAGGGACAGTGCCCAGGCCCAGAGTTCAAGTCCCATGACCAACCAAAAAAAAAAAAGAGAGAGAGAGAGTGAGTCAGAATTTCTGTTTGGGTTGACTTCGAATAGTGATCCTCAGATCTTAGCCTCCAAAGTAACTATGAGTTATTGTGGCATGAGACTCCAAACCTGGATGTCCTTGGAGGAAAGCAATTCAATACTATCACAACTGACAACTGGCCTACAGGTAGATATCTCCTATAAAGACATAAAATAGTTGGTTATTTGTTGTGGCATCTGTTGTGGTATCAATACTTTGGACAATTCCAATCTCCAAAATGGGAAGCCTGCACACTTATTAAAAAGAATATGGTAAGCTTAACATGATTCTATCCCAAAATATGTTATTAAGGGAAAAAAGCAGGTGAGGAACAGTGTTTACCTAGCAGTAAGAAGGGGGTATGAGTTGTTTAGCATGTGTGGTAAGCACTGGTGTAAATTATGGACTCAGTAGCTAGGTTACAGGCATATATCATCATACCAAGCTGGGAACTTTTCTAAACAGGCAATTCAGGTGGTTCCTGATTCAAAAGGCCCTTTGGAGACAGATCTCTCTCCTTACCTATTCTCTAGCCACTCACTTCCCTGGCCACAGGCAAGTATTCTCAGATTTTTGATCCTCCTGAGACAGTTGATGCATAACAAGTAAGTACATATTAATACCTGCTCATCCCTCCTTTTATACAGGCATGTATGCAGTCCTCTAGGGCTCTGTATATACCTTTTTATTTCTCACTATAACCTATCTTGGAGTTTGCTCTCTCAATAAATAGAACTACCTTATTCTTTACAATAACAGGATACCTGCGGTGGGGGCATGCATCATAATTAATTTAATATCTATGCTACAGATGCACTTCAGCTTGTTCTGATATTATACTGTGAAAACCTTAGGTTGTACTATCATTTCATGTGTGGAAAAGTATATTTGGAAAAACTAAATTCCTAGAAATTGAATTTATGAACCAAAAGATATATATATTTATAGTTGGTTGTGGTAGCATGCACCTACAATCCCAGTGACCTGGGAGACAAGGTAGGAGTGTCACAGATTCAAGGCCAGCCTAGGCAATGTTTTCAAGACTATTTCAAAAACAAAATAAAGGGCCTAGTATGGTGGCTCATGTCTGTAATCCCAGCTACTTGGGAAGCACAGATAAAAACCATGCTTTGAGGATAGCCCAGATTAAAAAAAAAAAAAAGTTAGCATAATCTCATTTCAACAAACAAACTGGTTCATATACCTGTAATCCCAGCATCAGGAAAGCATAGGTAAGAGACTTAAAACCCAAGGCTCACCTCAGCCAAAAAACTTGAAACCCTATAAAAAGAAATTACAAAAGCAAAAAGGGCTGGGGCATGGCTTGAAGGGGTAAAATATTTGCCTAGTAAGCCCCAGGGTCCTGAATTCAAACCAGTACTATCAAAAAATAAAAACAAAAATGAAGCTAGGCACGAGTGGCTCACATCTGTAATCCTAGCTACTCAGGAGGCTGAGATCTAAAGATTTCAGTTTGAAGCCAGCCGGGGCAGGAAAGTCTGAGAGACTCCTATCTCCGATTAATCATAGAAAGAGTTGGAAATAGCACTATGGCTCATGTGGTAGGGTGCTAACCTTGAACAAAAAGGAGCTCAGTAGCCAAGTCCAGAGTTAGAGCCCCAGAATGGGGTAAAACACACACACACACACACACACAAACACACACACAAACACAAATGGTAGGAGCATAGTTCAAGAGTTAAAGAGTACTTACCTAGCAAATGTGAGAAATGTGAGATGTGAGGCCTTGGTTTCAATCTCCCAGTAGGAGGAGGAGGAAAAAAAGCTTTATCCAAAATGACTTCAAGAGCTATTGCAGAGATTACAGCTAAACCCAAATTTTGCTCATTCAACATCTCTAGAGTAACATTTTCCATTGTTTAGTTTATAGCCACAATCTTAAAAAAAATCTGAGATGTACATATCTAACTGGTATTAAGAACTAAATCTTAGGCCAGTAAAAAAGCAAGATCAACAACAAAGTATACACAAGGCAATTCTTCTTTCATCACCTGCTAGATACAATCAGAATTTGCAAGATAGGAAGAAAGAACCAGATGTTAGAATGGTTCACTTTAATTTGGAGGGAAATGGTCCTTACAGCTATGTCTAATGCCCTGCCTGTCTCTCCATTTCTGCCTAAGCTGGTCTGGATGTAAAAGGAAACCCCATCCTGCCAGCCTTGTTCAGAAGAACTCAGGTACAAGGGATGGAAGCGAGGCAAGATCGCATACTACCAGAGAGAAAGGCTCGGGCTGAAGGGCAGGCCAGTGGAGACAACCTGCATCACAAGCTCTGCTCAGCCAAGCTTTTGCTTTTGCCTAGTGAAATTGTGCCCTCTCCTCCCGCATTCCTACGCAATCAGGCTTTTACCTAGTGAAATTGGGGGTGGGGGAAGGGCTCTGTTTTATTAAAACATCTCCAAAGCTAGATGCTGGTGGCTCACACCTAGCTACTTAAGAGGCTGAGATCTGAGGATCACAGTTTGAAGCCAGCCTGGGCAGAAAAGTCCCATGAGATTCTTATCTCCAATAAACCACCAGAAAACTGGAAGTGGCGCTGTGGCTCCAAGTAGTAGGACACTAGCCTTGAGTAAAAAGAACTCCAAGGGTCAGTGCCCAGGCCCTGAGTTCAAGCCTCACGACCAACAAAATAAATAAATAAACCTTCAGAGCAAGCTGACTTCCAGGCTCAAAAATGTATGGTTTTTGAGCTCTCCAAAATGTTATAAAAACAAAGGAATGCCGAGCGCCAGTGGCTCACACCTATAATACTAGCTACTCAGGAGGCTGAGATCTGAGGATCACAGTTCAAAGCCAGCCCAGGCAGTAAAGTCCATGAGACTCTTATCTCCAATAAACCACTAGAAAACTGGAAGTGGTGCTGTGGCTCAAGCGGTAGAGCAGTTGCCTTGAGCTGAAAAGCACAGGGACAGTGCCCAAGCCCAGAGGTTCAAGCCCCACCACTGATTTAAAAAAAAAAAAAAAAGGAATGATAATGATCTACATTAATCTTCAAAATGCTTAAAAAGGAAGGAAATCCTATAGCATGAGTTCTCTTAATTAAAATCTCCCCAACTCTGAACATGGAACACATTTCTCTTCTGAACTCATCCAGCTATATCGAACTAGTCATATATTATTGATATTTTATTTCAGGAAGATAGACTAATTTAATTTCCTGCCACCAGGACTTATAACCTTGTTCTGGGCACTCCTTGATGAAGGATTTTCTTAGAAAGATGCCCTGATGCTCTTCCTTTATTACCTTCTTAGTAATAGTTGCAGGCCTAGTTGCAGAGTGACAGGTCATTAAAGAAAAGAAACTCTTAGTACTGCTGGGAAACAAGGAACCACAGGTCAGAAGCTCATTCATTGCCTGCTTGCTGAATGAACCCCTTTCCTGGGGAACTCACCATAAGATGATACACCCACTGTCTCAACTGCAGAGGGCATCAACTCATGGTAGCTATGCTCTTCATGGTTCTCCAACTCTCTCGTGTCTGAGTTCTTCCATCCTCACCTTCACTGGCCTGTCATGGAGCTTCACCTCAAAGTCTAGAGCTAGGTATGGACTGGGTTCTCAGAAACAACTAGTTTCTTATAGAGATTCTAAGACAGAGGTTCCAAAATGATCACACTCAATCTGAAACCAAGTTTTGTTTTTGTGTTTGTTTATGGTGCTAGAGATGAACACCAGGGAGTCAACCAATGAGTTACAGCACCAGCACTCTGCACATAACTTTTTACTGGACTGTGTAGTATTTAAAAAAAAAAAACAAAGTGAGCCAGCACCAGTTGCTCAAGCCTGTAATCC